CGTACGATGAACAGGCAAAAAAAACGGGGGCACAATTACTCATATATGCCTCCTCCGCACTCAGGATTTGTGCCCATATCTGCGGCACAGGCAGGATACGTGTTTACGCCTCCTCCGCACTCAGGATATGTGTCGAATCCTCCGGCACACGCAGGATTTGTATCCACGACTCCGGCACACGCAGGATATGTGGCCACGGCTCCGGCGCACGCAACATACGTCTCTGCGCCTCCGGCGCAGGCAACATACATCTCTGCGCCTCCAACGCACGCAACATACGTCTCTGCGCCTCCGACACACGCAACGTACGCCTCCGCGCCTCCGACACACGCAACGTACGCCTCCGCGCCTCCGACACACGCAACGTACGCCTCCGCGCCTCCGACACACGCAACGTACACCTCCGCGCCTTCGACACACGCAACGTACACCTCCGCGCCTCTGACACACGCAACGTACATCTCTGCGCCTTCGACACACCCAACATACATACCTCTATAAAAAACAGTGAATACAAACACACAAATATGTATGTACACATGTACACATTTACACTTATGATTCATACTTATCTAATGAGAATTCTATTTTTCGTCATATGGAACACGTGTGTGCGCACACACACACACACATACACACACATACTTATATATTATATAAATGCATATTTATCTTTGTGTACATTTGTATGTGTACATTAAAAAAATATATATATAAATAAGAATAAATACAAAGTTAATTTTATATTGGTTTTATATTTCATTTACCTTTTTACTCCCATTTAGTTTTACATTCCTTTTATTTCCTTCATAAATGTATTCTTTTATAAAATTTTACTTAAATTGTAATTGCACTCTTGTATTTCTGTTCTCTCGATCATATGCCCATTTTTTTTCATTCGTTTACTACATCCGCCTTTTATCTTCATATTTACTTTCATGTTCATTCGAACTTCTCTCTCTCTCTTTCTCTCTGCTTATTTTCTCGGTAGTATATATTCTTACATGCGCTCATGTCATAACCTTTACTGTTTTTTTTTCTCATTTCTCTATATCAAAATAAGCTTTTTACATGTATGCATTGTTATTTTATAATTTAATATAAAATATTTAATTTGTCTCTCTTTCTCTTTTTTATTATAATGAATACACCATGTAATACAATTTATATATTATATATTGTTTACATTTGCAGTAAGAATAATATTTATGATAATTGATAAGAATTCATAACTATTTACCAAAAATAAAGTTTAATAGAATCAATTTACATCACAAATATGTATATAAAATCACTATTACAAATAATCTCAACATATAATATATAATAATAATGAAATTTACAAGTTTTACTTAAAAAAAATTTTTTTTTGATAAATATAGACTATAATTCTTAAAAATTATAAATATATATTTATCTGCTATAAAAATCATAACTATCATCATTGTATAAAATGAATAATTGAAGTAAAATTGTATACGCTTATACAGGTTAAAATTTAAATTGATAAAGTCCATCAAATTTTATTTTTTGTAAATTGATTCTATATTCAACTTTATTGAATCTTGATTTGTAAATAGCTGCAAATTATGATCAATTGTCCTACACATTTTTCTTTCTGCAAATATGAAATATATATATAAATTGGATGACATAGATATATTTATTATAACAAAATAGAGAGAAAGAGAGATAAATGTAATATTTCATATTTTGAAACTATATAATATATATATATATATATATATATATATATATATATATATATATATATATATAAATGCATATATATAAAAAGTTTTTTTTATATAGAATAATAAGAACCAAAAAATAGTAAAAATAACATGAGCGAATGTAAGAATATAATACCGAGCAAAAAAAAGAGAGAGAGAATGAGAGAGAGAATGAGAGAGAGAGAGAGAGAGAGAGAGAGAGAGAGAGAGACGCAACATGTAATGTAAAGCATGAAGTTGAGCGATATGTAGTGAGTGAAAAAAAGAGACAGATTGAGCATATGATCAAGAAAACGAAATTAAAAATACGTGGGAGTGCAATCATGCGTATACGTATAAACTATTATCATAGGCAAAAGAGAGAAAGAGAAAATACGATTTTATCTGTCCTCGTCGATAAAAGTTTAGATGACAGTGCCATCTATCATGCTATTCGTCAACTAATTTTTTTTTATTTTACTCTTTTATATCGATATTGTACATGCACGCACATACACTAAACAGTTCGATCATTAATTTTTTTATATAAGCTTCTAAGATCATTTTTTTTACTTTTGTATTATTCTTTCATGTTATCCCAACTGCGAGCGCTGTGTCTTTTACACAGACAAACTGCAAAACTTATATATTAAAGCAATATTGTTACGACGTGATGGAAGAAGTCGGTAACACTAATGTAATTAACACAGTTTTATGTAACTTTTCTTGGTTTTTTGCATTAAGTTATAGCTTCCGCACTTCGTTATTCTTAGAACTTTAATTGTGGAAAAGGATTTATCGATATGTGTAGCCAATAAAAAGAATAGTGATCGAACTGAATCTTCACATTTTGTCGGTAAAAAAGTCCACTTTAGGATCCCCTTAAAACTGACAACTAACTTTCGCTGTAAAATCTGAAAAAGAAAGACGAATGTTAACTTTAATATTCAAAGTCCTGTATCTCGGAAACGGTTAGAGATACGAGGTCGGAGCGTGGGACCTTTCTAGTAGATTGCGTCGAGATCTACGGAAATGGTCCTATACTCCTATCTCGTATCTCTCACCGTTTGCGAGATACGGGACTTTGAAATACCGAGAACGGACCACGACCGAGCGCGGTTTCTTCTTACTTCTTCCAGGGTCCGCACCAACGGCTGCCGCGGTAATGAGCCGAGAGGCCTCGCTCTCTCGACCTTGTACAATCGGCAACTTCTGAAAAAAGCGAGATACGATTTTAGTTCATAGGAACTTTTTTTGGGAACGGGTCGAGTTACGTCGAATGGCGTCGGTCCCGAGTCTCTAGGACAAACCCCCGCGGCAGAAAAACGAAAAATAAAAAAAAACATCGAAAAATTCATATTTCGAAAAAAACACCTTAATGAATCTGAAAGGGCTCGAGACGCCCTGCAAAAAAGGTCCTATGGTCCGACCTCCTATCTTCAATAGTTTAAAAGTTAAAAAAAAAAAGCCAAAAGTTATTTAAAAATAAAATCTTTATAACTTTTAAACTATCGGAGATAGGAGATCGGAACGTAAGACCTTTCTTGCAGGGCGTCTCGAGCTCTTTCAGATTCATTAAGGTGTTTTTTTCGAAATATGAATTTTTCGATATGTTTTTTTTTATTTTTCGTTTTTCCGCTGCGGGGGCTTGTCCTAGAGACTCGGGACCGACGCCATTCGACGCAACTCGATCCGTTCCGCAAAGTTCCTCTATACAAAGGTCCAGAACCTCGCGTTTTCGAGTTACAGCCGTTTGAAAAAAAAAATTTTTTTATTATTGAAGATAGGAGGTCGGACGATAGGACCTTTTTTGCAGGGCGTCTCGAGACCTTTCAGAATCTCTATGGTGTTTTTAAAAAAAATAAAAAAATAAAAATAAATTTTTCGATATTATTTTTCTTTATTTTGTTTCTTCTCGGCGGGGGTTGGTCCTAGAGACTCGGGACCAACGCCATTCGACGCAACTCGACCTTTTCCCCAAAAAAGTTCCTATGAATTAAACTCGTATCTCGCTTCCTTCAGGAGTTGCCGAGTCTACAAGGTCGAGAGAGCGCGGCCTCTCGGCTCATTACCGCGGCAGTCGTTGGTGCGGATCCTACAAGAGGCAAGGAGGAACCGCGCTCGGTCGTGGTCCGTTTTTGGTATTTCAAAGTCCCGTATCTCGCAAGCGGTGAGAGATACGAGATCGGAGTATAGGACCTTTCTTTTAGATCTTGACGCGATCTACAAGAAGGGTCCTATACTCCGAGCTCGTATCTCTAACCGTTCGCGAGATACGGGACACTTTCGCTCCTTACCTACATTCCAAGTCCTTCCAAGTCCCTTCCAAGTCCCGTATCTCGCGAACGGCTGGAGATACGAGGTCGGAGCTTATGACCTTTCTTGTAGAGGGCGTCGAGATCTACAAGAAAGCTCATAAGCTCTAACCTCGTATCTCTAACCGTTCGCCGAGATACAAGACACGTCCGATCCTTACCTCCTTCCAAGTCCCGGATTTCCAATTCCTGGTTGTACGAATGTGTCTCCTCCGTGGTGTGCCACCTTGTCGTGGTGGAGGAGTTCCCCTCTTCCTTCGGGTCGAAGAGCACACCATTGCACTTCCTCGTGGTGTTTCGTTGGCGGTGGAGGATGAAAGCGAAAACGAAAGCGGCCCTCGGGCCGTGAGTAGCGAGTAGAGAGTAGTCCAAAGCTGCCGCGCGGACATCACGAGAAGGGGGGTTGCGCTCCCTCCGGGCACCTTGGCCTGATGCGCATAGGGGTAGGCGGCCCTGACTGCAATCGCCCGGGTTGAGGATCCCGTGAAGGGCGGAGGAACGCCCCAATCCTCACTTCTTTCCCTAAGATCCTCCTCTCCTTAGGCATCCTTTCTCAACTCTTCTCTCTCCTTCCCTACCTTTCCTTCTATTTCCTATCTTATGTTCCTGGTTTCTCCCTTTGTATGTGTGTGAGTGTGTGTACGCGTGCTTGTGTGAGACCGTGTCTAAGAGCGCACGGTTATTATTAACTGGTTAGAGGCCGGTAAGAACACACCGTAATCCACTAGGTCATGTTTCTGGTGGACCGGGGGCCTTGGCTTAACCGCCTGGGTCGCGAAGAAGAAAACTTCTATAAAAATTACCCCAATCCTAAGCAGCGCTGCGCGGTGAGAGGATGCGTGGCTCGTGGGTAGACGAGTCTTTAGCGGGCAACCTGTGGGGCACTGGCAACCCCACCTGTATTAATGCCCTACCCGGGTAAAGCGGCTCTACCCGGATGGACCTGTTTTTCCGCACTGCTCGTGGGATCAAGATGGAATTTAAGTATTTGATTTATAATTTACCGGACCAGGCTTCGGAACCCAGGTCCCGCTCCGAGGGTGCGACAACCCTCGACGTAGTACCGCCGCCGCCACCGCCACCACCACCACTGTGGCCCACTGTTACAGTGGTGCAAGCGGCAGAGGAGAGCAGCGACGACGAAAGACTCGTCCGTATTATTCCTGGAGTGTCCGACGAAGCTGCATCAACGTCGGCCCAGGAGACAGAGCAGATGGTGATAAAACTCTGCTCTGTCAGATTGACGAGATTATTGACGCTGCCACGACCACCATCACCATCATCGCCGCCGCCGCCGCCACCACCACCACTGTGGCCCACTGTTACAGTGGTGCAAGCGGCAGAGGAGAGCAGCGACGACGAAAGACTCGTCCGTATTATTCCTGGAGCGTCCGACGAAGCTGCATCAACGTCGGCCCAGGAGACAGAGCAGAAAGTGATGAAACCCTGCTCTGTCAGATTGACGAGATTATTGACGCTGCCACGACCACCATCACCATCATCGCCGCCGCCGCCGTCGTCGTCGTCGTCGTCCTCGTTCTCGGACGCCTCCTCCTCGTCTTAGCCGCCCCGATATCGCGGCCCCAGAAGACCACTCTCCTCCTCGGAGAGCTCGGTCGAGGAGACAGAGCAGATCGCAATAAAACCCTGCTCTGTCAAATTACTCAAAATGCAGCCACCACCACCGACGCTGCTGCTGCCACCGTCACCACCTCCGTCGCCGGTACTTTGCACAAGGCCAAGGTGCATAGTACGTCGCGAGAGACTGCCGCGATCACCGTCACCGGCGCCACCGTCACCGGCGCCACCATCGCCTGCACCACCACCACCCGTGTACCCGTTGGATCTGCTCGATCCGACGGTGTTCGCCGTCCCGCGCGACCAAGAGACGGATATGTTCACAAGCGACATCGATTCCATACTCGTGTGCACGACGACTATGGAACCGTTTGTCTGCAAGGTGATGACGAAGTTTGAAGTCTGTCCGCGTGACGTAGTACGCTGCTCGAATACAAAATTAACTGCGTATCTGAATCATCGGCAAGATTTCGGCGGTCTGCAAAAACCAGCGTTTAGTACCGTCGTCGACAGAATAAATCCGACGCAGTGTTGGTACGAGTTCCAACTCGGTATCATAGATAACAAGCCGTACTACGTCCTCTTCCAAACGAGAGGAAATCCGGCGGAGTTGAGAGACGTGGCGCATCCTCGCGGAAAGGAAACGCCATTGCACCGCATTTGTCGAAGTTTTATCGACAATGTTATCGTCCCGGCCGCGAGCGACATGTCGCTCAACAGTCAAACGGCTCGCCACGGTTCATCCAATGCGCCGTGAATCAACGTTTTCATGTATTCGCGCAGGATTATGAGGATTTTGCCGTACGAATCACGAAAATACTCGGCACTATCGACTTGTGCGAAAAGTGCGACATCCATGCCGTGCGGTTTTACACGTGCGAGCATGGATTTAAATTGAAGAAATTGTTGGCTCGAATGTATCTGTACAACACTGTAAAAGTGTGGCATTTACACTTGGATATATTACAGATACACGTGGCGGACATGGTACGCCCGACGGAAAATCCGGTCCTCGTCCGACTCACCGAACACTCACCGGACGGCTCTTTGTCGGATATTTTTCAAAGCGCGATACACATGAGCGGTAACAGGAAATTTACGCGTTACCGCATAGGATTTCTGGCGGACTACGGCCACTTTGTCGCCAATCTGTCGCCAGCATGGGACGAACACGCGGTGACATTCGTGCAAGTTTACAACTCGGCTGCCAAATTCGCACGACCCTCCAGCTCCGGCGACATAGCCGCGTATTTAATATGTCGGGGATTTTCCCAAATGGACAGACTCGTAGAAGCGAGAAAAAATATTAGGCAACGCTTGTACAATCACTTGGCCTATATCGTGCACTACGTGCAGGACAATTATGAATTGCGCATCGAGGAAGTCGTGACTCTGGACCCTCGACGGCACAATATCATAAACAGGATGAGAGATTTACGAATCTTCTCCGACTTGTTCGTCAACAGAACGACGAGAAGATTACTGGACAACAATCTGTTGTTCAGATTCGCTAATTGGCAGTGTTACGTCTTCGACATGTTACTCCAAGATTTTAACATTGTCGAAGACATTCAGCGCGACATCTTCCTTCACGACAATTACTCGTCGCACGAAGATGTCATAAGAGCTATGCGCGCTGAACTTCGCCTCAATTATTTCGCCCACGGAATTAATCATTCCTATTCGTATCACCTGTTGCGCGTTACTTTTGTTAACGCGACGGAAGCGCGATCCAGAGACGGTACGATGCTTTTACATCCAGCTACGACCAACGGAGACGAATGCGAGAACCATGTTCCTTTGTATTCGCATGTCGTCCCAGCTGGATACATGACTGCGATCCGTCATGTATATAATGTTACTCGCGTCGTACGTACCGACGACGTTTGCGAGTTTCTCGTCATTTGTTTCGCTTCGTGGGCCTATCGTTTCTTTTTCGATAACGACGACGACAGCATTATTTTTACCGTTCAAGAATTTCGAAGGAATAGAAGACCTTTCGACTTGGCGGTATTCCAACGAGCGGTCGATGAATGGAGAACACGCGACCGCATCGGAAGGTTAACTGTTGCGAATGCGGTGGAAGCCGATAGATTGACGCGCAATCTTTTTACGCATCCTGCAGTACCTCTCGCACAGGTCGTGATGAGCACCTTCAACCGTAGGCATATCGACGAAATGGTACCACTGCTTCGCGAAATGGTGCAAGAAACGTTCCATGTTGTACCTACCAACATGTGGACCACGGAACACACGAAGTCGTCAAACACATGGAGCGTTGTGAGAACGAATTCTTACAGACAATTGCCAGACGGGTGATATTTGAATGTCCAGTATTTGCGTCGCAAGCTGGACAGACGCCAAACTCGCCAAACTGGAGGCCAACCTAGACGAATCGGAACAACATCGATCCTGGACGATATGCAATTTGCAATTGACAATTCCATATTTTTTCTTAAAAACAACTGTATGTTTTCTTTACACCAATTGATTCCTCTCATTATTTTGTACATAAAAGTATGAAGGTAAGATAATCGAAAAATGAATGGTTTACTAGATATTTTATGGTTTATGTAAAATTAAGAAATTATTTCAAGCCTTATAACTCAAAAAGTACTTAATAAAAAGGTACTTAATTATAGTGTTTTGGAAAGCTCTCGAGATAAGCTACAAGAATATGCAATGAAAAATAGAGAGTTCCATTTAAGAAATTGAAGGTAATCTTTATGTGACCTTCAAATGACTATCCAAGGTCAAATCTAAGGTCACCGTCGGATTGCCCGGGAAAAATCCTACAACTTTTGTCTAGGTCATTTTCCTCTGTGATGCGTATTTTTCAAATTATCCAGCCGTCCCGGAACTTTTGACACACGCTGTATACACGGTGGGCCATTTTAATCGATGCACTCGAATATCTCGAAAACAGCACTCTTCAGAAAGAAATGTTTCAAACAAAAATTGTAGGGTGTGAAGGGGGACATAAGATGGTAGCATTGGTTTGACCTTGGAAAGTCATTTGAAGGTCACATAAAAGTCACCTTCAATTTCTTAAACTGAACCCACTATTTTTCATTACATATTCTTGTAGCTTATCTCGAGAGCTTTCCAAAACACTACAGACAAATGTTTTTTCATTAAATACTTTTTGAGTTATAAGGCTTCAAAGTTTGCAGTACTTCGATATAAAATGCAAAATATCTCGTAAAATATTTAGTTTTCGGTAGTCTTATCCTAATACTTTTATGCACAGGATAATGAGACAAAACTATTGGTGCAAAGAAAACGTATGATTGTTTATGATAAAAAATGTGTAATTTGCAATGCACTTTTTGTTATAAACAATCATGCGTTTTCTTTGCACCAATAGTTTTGTCTCATTATCCTGTGCATAAAAGTATTAGGGTAAGACTACCGAAAACTAAATATTTTACGAGATATTTTGCATTTTATATCGAAGTACTGCAAACTTTGAAGCCTTATAACTCAAAAAGTACTTAATGAAAAAACATTTGTCTGTAGTGTTTTGGAAAGTTCTCGAGATAAGCTACAAGAATATGTAATGAAAAATAGTGGGTTCAATTTAAGAAATTGAAGGTGACTTTTATGTGACCTTCAAATGACTTTCCAAGGTCAAACCAATGCTACCATCTTATGTCCTCCTTCACACCCTACAATTTTTGTTTGAAACATTTCTTTCTGAAGAGTGCTGTTTTCGAGATATTCGAGTGCATCTATTAAAATGGCCCACCGTATATATATAGGCTACAGATTATTAATATAAACTATATATTTATATTTATAATAGTTATATATATTTATATTTATAATATATATTTATTATTTTTATATTAATAAAAAATATATAAACTGTAATTAATATTATTAATTATAACCTTTTTAATAAGTTCGTTAATTTATTAATTACATCAACTTTTGTTTTGTTCTTGTCACAAACTTTCTATCACGCCGTGCACGGCAAAGCTTGTTCTGTTATTTGCGTGAATTTTGCGTCTCGTCATGCTAGAGCAAACCTTGCTCCGTTCTTGTCATAAATTTGCCATTACAGCGCGCATGACAAAGCTTACTCCGTTATTTTCGTGAATTTTGTGTCTCGTCGTGCCACAACAAACCTTGCTCCGTTCTTACTACAAATTTGCTACCATATCATGTATGGCAAGGCTTGCTCTGTTATTTGAGTGAATTTTATGTCTTGTCGTGCCACAACAAACCTTGCTCCGTTTTTGCCATAAATTTGTCACTACGCCGCGCACGGCAAAGCTTGCTCTGTTATTTGCGTGAATTTTGCGTCACGTTGTTGCAACAAGCCTTGCCAACAAAAACAAAGCTTAATGCGGACACATCTTGTCGCAATTTTACTGCAAAGGCGTGCTCGTATTTGCTGCAAACTTTGCGCAAAGTTTGCATCATTTTGCTTGCTGGGTATATGATAAAGAATTGATTTATACCTTTCAAAAGGTCAAGTACAATACATATAACATAACTAATTAAATAAACGAATAATTACATGAATGCTAAACATCTTTACTAACAATATTATTAAACGGCTGATAGTTGCATGAATAATAAAAAATTATTATAAAATATCTAATTCAATGAATATCCACGAAAATCCAAGTACGAATATAATTGCAAGGAATAAAAGTATAAACTATTAACAAAAATATATAATACATATATTTGAAATGTGTATAATAAAAATTTCGTAAATAAATAAAGACAAAGGTAAAACAAATTTAACATCAATATATTGATGTCCTTCTAAATCAATGTAATAAATTCCAACAACCCAATTAGAATAATGTCTGAGCAAGTTAAAATTTAAAATAATAATTGAACAAATTAAATCCAAAAGGTACTTAATAACAATTAAATACATTATCAGTACATTACTCGTGTAAATGAATTCATTGAATATCACAATTAAAATTAAAATAAATGATCATAAGGCATATATAACAATTTCTA